GAAAGCCAAACTTGGGGCTTGGAGCTGGCAGTGCTGCCCTGGGTGGGAAAGAGACAGTGGGGAGAGCTGGGAGCCCCTTGCAGAAGCTGAGGATACCAGAATGTTCCAGTGAAGGGGCACTGGGCTACCTGGTAGGCACATCTCGCCAGGAGCCAAACTGCCAGTGGAACTGCTCCCTTGCTTTTGGTGTCACTACCTGCTGCTGCATGCAGCACTGCCTGCTTTCTGTAAACACCTGGAAATTTATCTGCATCCACAAATATAACCTTTCTTCAGATAGAAGCCAAAATAAGTTGAAATAAATGTGGACAGATGCACTTTCTTCTTTGCTCTCAAGTCTGATTTATCGAAGTGTAGAGCGACTCCTTAATCCCATGGTTTGTAAATCTGACCTTCACCTTGACAGTTAGCTCCAGTACATGCAAAAATGGTTCATTTTAACTTGGCACTCTCTAATTGCACCACAATTATTCTGTTAATTGTTTTGAAATTACTCAAATCCATCTGCTCTGTCTATCTGCAATTGCCTCCAGGGACTGCTATAATCAGGCTGATCAAGCCGCTTGCTGGCAGGGAAAAAAGTGTCTGCTCACAAGGACTGGAAATACGCAATATTTCGGCAAAACAGACTGTAAGAAAAGCCACAGGATCACCCTAGGAGCTCAGCTGGCCCCAGCAGTAGGGGAGTCTAACATGTGGTGCAAAAGTGTGGTGTTCTGCTCCCAGGCTGGGCTCAGACACCCTTGGCCAGGTCATTGTAGTTGAAAATATGTTATTTCAGGACATGTCATAGCTCAGCTGTGTCAAATTCCACTACCTTCTGTTTTGAACAAGCCGTTGCCAGACTATTTTGAAGTTTCTTGGTAGAAATCATGGTCTATTGATGCCTTTGGCCTGAGGAGTCCCAGTCTGCTTTAACTAGTCCTTGGAAGTAAACAAAGTAAACACCTCCCACCCCCTTCTTTGTATCTTTTCTTGTTCTGTTGTGTCCTTCTGCAGTGGCAAAACTAAAAATGCATGGAATATCCAAAATGGGAGTGACTGTGGCACAATGGCATAGTGATGCATTGTGAGGGTTTGGGGTTTTTCCTTTCTTCCTATTCGATTCGGCTTTTTGTCTGTGACTGAGCATTGAATAAGCTGCTTGGTACTGTGAGGTCCTCTCCTGATTCTTCTCTGTGTGCCCCAGGCTTTACTGTCCTGGGTAACCCAGCATCATCAGAAAATTTTGGAGCTTTGTATTCACAAGAAGGGAAGCAGGGCTTAAAGGAAAGAAAATGAAGATGTGTGCACTTAAAAGATTTAGGGCAATTCACAACTGCCTGAGCAAAGCTTATTCTAGTCACATGAATCTCCTTTTGACCTGTATTTTTTTGGACCAAACTGCTGGAGAAAATAATCATTTGTGTTTCCCCAGTCTATATATCACTGCTGTTGGTTGTTTCTGATGTGCAAAGGCATTGCAGCCCTACAGAGAACATTTTATCTGCTCAACCCAAGGGTAAAACACTTCAGACACAGCTGAAGTGCCATTTAGTCCTTAAGTAAGTTCTTAAAGAGCTCTGCATGCATGCGATTTTGCCTGTTGATTAAATAGGAAATAATCCCGTTCTTTAAAATGTATACAGCTTTTTTTCTGTGCCTACAGGATTACAGAAATTCTTTTGTGTGTGTGATGCTAATCTAACATAGCTATCAATAAAACAGTATCTATAAACTTTTTCATATTCGTTTGTCTCTAGTTAATCAACAAGGAGAGCTGAACTGCTCCCCAGGGGCCAGCTCTGCGTAAAACAGCCCATTAGAAGTGGGCACACACAAAGGCAGGTTGACGGGGCTGGCAGCTCCAGGGCTGCTCCCCATCAGGGAGCAAGTCACACAAACAACTGTCCTGCTTGAACTGCATTCCCCTATTCCCAAAGGAACATCCTCTATGCTCCGACTGACCTCTGTCTCTCCTAGAGCTGATTGTACAGGGCATTTTCTGGCTCTGAGCGCCATCTACAAAAAGTACGTATTGACTGGATCCTCCTGGGATGGGTGGGTGAGATAAGCTCATTACCATCAGCCCCTTCTGTAACATAGCAAAGCTTTTACGAGTCAATGGCCTTGTCTAAAAAACTGTTTGCAAATTTTAGAGTAAGGTACCTGAAGAACTTGCTGCAAGCAGAAGTAACAGTGTTCTGAACTAACGAGCCTTTCTGTAAAACAATAAACCGATGTATTTCTTTCCAGGATGAGTGGAAATTGAAACATCGGACTCTTTCAGCAGCCACCCTGTTAAGTGCTATAGCATCTACCGAAATGCGATTGCTGCTGAGCCAGATTTGCATTTGTGGGCACCACAGCATCTCCAATTACTGCTCAGCAGAGAAGAAGCCTGCAGGGCAGAAACAATTAACGGAAGGCTCAGCTAACTGATCCGTACCAGCACTTGTGCTGGGCATTGAGCGCTGTTATTTCAGTTGCCCCCTGTGTGGAGCCTGAAGAAAGAAAAGGGGTCCTAGAGCAAAAAGAAAGATGGAACGAGTGCACTTACAGCACGTTGCAAATGCAACAAGCCAGCGCATAGCGTACGTTCCGGCTGGCTCCCGAAAATGAGGTGCTCTGTTCTGGCTCACTGAACCCACCACACATAGTCCTTAGAGCAACTGATGAGAACTCCTCACCAGTTGTTTCTCTAGTCCAGTGCTGTGTTTAAAGCAGACAGGGGCAAAGTAATCACCTGTAGCAAAAGGAGCCTTGATAAAAAAGGGATTAAACTTAACATTTAAAAGGATTTTATCTCTTGGTTGTGTCTCCTAATGCAACTGCTTCAAATGCTAATTGTGATCCTCTTTTTATAATTTCCTATCTCTCCTTTATCATGGAAACCCTGAGAATTTATTTCCTCCTCCAGTCCGTGCGCTAGCAAATGGAAAACTTTGGTATGAATTAAATTGAAAGCCTGTAATTGTTATGAGACTGTCACATAAACATGTAGATGTGGCACTCCAGGATGTAGTTTAGTAGTCATGATACTTCATAATCTTAGAGGTCTTTTCCAATTTTAATGATTCTATGATTCTCCAATGGCAGCGGCGGGCAGACGTGCTGGTGGTATATGGCTGATGTAGGGATCCCTCGTGCCAGTTCTGGAGATATTAAATAAGCGGATTAAAGCCTTTCAAAGATGGAATAGGTTATGCTTTCATAATATGTTTCTTTCCAGCCTCCACAAGAGTTGGCACAGCTTGGTGTGCTACAAAGCACTCTTTTTCTTCCCCTTGCTCAGAACATCTTTAATGAATTCTTGGCAGGACTTTCTAACTCTGCATGCAGATAGGAATAAACTCTGGCAAAACTGGGGCCTCCTGCAAGGCCACTCAGCTGGGTCTCTCTGCTTCAGGACTTTGCGTGAGTACGGAGACTTTCCCTGCCTGATACTCCTGCAGCGGACAAGTGGATGTGGCAGAGCAAAAGCAGCGACAGCAGGACCCACGCACACAGTTGAGAAATTCAGGTGTCTAGAATCAAGACAGATTTTGTAGACTGTAAAGGCAACAGAAAACTCCCAGCGGAGGGAAAGCAGAGCAGACCGGCAGCTGTACGATCAGATCATCGCTGTACAAATGTGAGCAGAGCTCTGCGCTGGCATTCCAGGAGCTCCTATCCAGAGCGGAGCTGTCTGGAAACAGCTGCCACGTTTGGCAACACAACCCGAAATGGCCATGTCTTCCAGGAGCGTGGAAATCCCTGCATCTCACCTGAAGTCTCCGAGCACTTTCTGCTACACCTTAGTCCCTGACCACACCTGCTGTCATCAGTTTTGTGCTAAAAGAAAATCAATCAAATTTACATGTCAGCTGAATATTCTCCAAACTGTGTCTCCCTTTCCGGGCTTGTCAAAACACGGGATCCATTGGGCAGCCTGCAGGCGTTGGAGCCCAAAGTACCTGCGTGGCATTGGGAGAGGAAACTTTCCAGGAAACCAGGACGTTGTAAAAATACACCGGGTGTATTTCAACGTGCCTTATCAACCCTCTTGGGAGGCTCCAGGACCTGCACCATCGGCATGGCTGAGGTCACTGGGGACCTACATCTTTGCTTAAAGTAAGCCAGCTGATTTCAGGAGGCACTTGGTGCCTATGCACGCTTTAAGAACTAGATTTGAAGGATCCCAACTGAGAACACAAATCGGTGTCAACTGTTTGTGGCTTTTGTGACAGAGCCAGAGACAGCACTTAAGAGGATTCTTAGCAATTTGCTCAAATAACATTCCTTAAAATTTGATTTTTCAAGGGGTAGAAAGAAAGAAAATCAGGAGGGCAGCAAAGGTAATAATCACCGAATTTGCTTCTGGATTTTCTCTGTCTGTCTTCAAAAGACAAAAATGTTACTGCCAAAGTTGATTCTGATTTCCTCTCAGAAACTGTCCACTGGCTCTTTGGTGGACAGTGCTGAAATACAGTGCAAAAGCGACCAGTTAAAATGCCTCTACCTGAAGGAGACAAAACCAGATTGGTGTACTAACTCAGTGACGTTTCTTTCCTTTTCCCCCCACCCTTCCTCAAGCCGTGCAGCTATTTGACAGCAACAGAAATACTTTCCGAGTTTTGTAGCTGACTTGGAGCTACAGACCTTTACTACTGCAAGAAGAGGAAAAGGGGAGAGAGAGAGAGGTAATTTCTAAAGTGAAGCTAAATTAGCCACAAAATCAAACATTCCCAAAGACACTTAATTTGATGTCAGTTCAGAGAAGCCTTTTGGTTTTATGCCATCTAAAAATAAACTATCAGTACACTCTTCAGGATTGTGGTTCTTTTAATACTCAGTGTTGCAGTTCAGAAACTGTAAGGAAACTTAATTGGAATTAAATTGTTATGCCTAAACTAATAATTAGAACCTATTCTTCTAATAAAAGAAGAAATAATAGACTTTGCATAACCATTAATCTCTTGCAATAACCCTCAGTGGTACAGATTATTTTTCAGAAACGTGAGCAGTATCTTGCAGAAAATATGACATTTATTGGCTTATTTTTCTTCTGTATGCTGATGAACGTGCTAACAGGTAAGATTACTGCTGAATTTATTCTTGTTTATTTTTTCTCATTTATTTTTTCAAACAGAAATTTTTTGCTACTAATATAGTATCTTGTATTTAATATTAGATACCTCTCATGTATTAATCACAACTGCTCTGGCTGTTAGTTAAGAGTATTTGGTTTGCAGCACTGAGTGACTGCAAATGGGAAACTCCTTACTCAGCTGCTCAAGAAACTGAAAATATTTGGCCATACAGAAGGTCCTACGTGTGCATTGAAGAACTTGTCAGCTTCTGGCTACACAGCAAAGTGTAGCAGAAAGTCCTTCTGTTCAGGAGCTGGTACTGATGAGTTTCCTCTTTATTGACAGATGCACGATCAATCCAGGACAGAGACGGTAATTCTTAACGTGTTTTTCTTTCCTTTGTATCACTAACAATTAGAGGAGTCGTTTGTAAAACTCCTAGACCTGATCCCCAGCAGTGATTTTGGCAGGTACGCTTACTAACTTTGGTGGGCTGTGGAAGTGATTTCATCTAGTTGTGGTAAAGAAAGAAGAGTGAATTCTTAGAAGTTTCTGTAAAATTTATTAAAATCTGTCATATTAATCTCTAATAATAGAGCTAATATACTTGCAGTCTTAAAAAGGGGTTATGGTCAAGTCACTAATTCTGTTATGCAAAATCGTAACTGGAAAACACCAGACTTATAAACATATTATGCATCTGAGGATTTTGTCTATCCTGAAAAGTAATACTATACGCGTGTCTGGTTATTGGCAAGAAATACCGATTTTTCACGGCAAGTAGCTTAAAAAATGACGAATTGCCACAAATCCAATTAAAGAAATGTTGGAATAAATCCCTTAGCAGAGCTACCCTGTGGTTTGTGTCACTTTATGTGATTAGTCCATTGGATTAGTGTTTGCCTTTGATTAAAAAAATCCTCAACATCCTAATGATGTTTACACTAGCTTACTAACAATTGTATCAGTTAGCTTCTCTTTGGCATTTTCAGACAGAATTCTCTCTGAAAACAAAGATACTGCTGTTGCTGGTGTTCATCTTGGTTAATATACCCAGCAGGACAGCCAGCAGCATCCCAAGTGTGCAAATATGTAGGAAAAGTATTAGAACAGATATGGAAAGTAGAAATACATATATGGAATAAGGGCTGCTATAATTACTTTTAATTCAGAATGTTTTTCCCTGTGCTCCATTATATTTCCTTACGGCTCTAAAATCATTTGAATACACCATCTGTGTTTGAGTGCTGTTATATGTGTACACAGCGAGTATCTCCGTGGTAACCTCTTAGTCAGGAGAGTGTGTGTCAATCTCAAAATAAAACCTTATTCAGGCAGTAAGCATCCTGTTGCTCTCATTACCAACAATTACAGTTCTCTTTCACGCTGGGCCAAGCAGCAGCCTGCAAAGCGAATCTAAGGTCGGCTGGTACAAACAGTGAATTTTCCAGCTTTTGGCTGCTTCATTTGATTTGTTATTTGTCATCTGTGCCTGTGTGCCACAAACTTCATAAAAAATCCCAATAGGATTGTTGAAGGCTCTTAATTCCCACTAAAGACCCCAGTCCCAAGCTGAGCCTGGTGAGTGGCATGGCTCCCATTTATTTAAACAGGCTTTAAATCAAATCGAAATACTGCGTTTAGCTTTTTTTGGTTTGTGACACTGATACTCCTACAGGAGGCACAAACGCAGCAGGGAACCCACAACCCCAAACCATCTTGGCTCCCAGGCCCAAGCTTTCAAGAAACAATTAATTCCTGTTATACTAATCTGCAATAATTTATATTTTATTTTTTTTTAGCTCTCTACGGGGAATCTGCACCCTTGCCTTACTGGCCCTTCTCATCCAGTGATTTCTGGTCCTACGTGGAATATTTCCGGACCCTGGGAGCGTACGACAGGATCGATGAAATGGCCAGAACTTTCTTTGCCCAGTTGCCTTTTGGGAGTCACCTCGGCTACCACGTGCCCGACCACGAACGCTAAATTTTTTGCTCGTTTTTTACCAAACCTGGCGCCAGATTGTTTAAGTGAATATAGCCTAGAGAAGATGAGATTGAGGGGAGACCTCATCGCTCTCTACAACTACCTGAAGGGAGGTTCTAGAGAGGCAAGGGTGGATCTGTTCTCCCTAGTGGAGAGTGATAGGATGAAGAAATGGATTTAAATTGCGCCAGGGGAGGTTTAGGTTAGATATTAGGAAGAATTTCTTTACTGGAAGGGTTGTCAGCCATTGGAACAGGCTTCCCAGGGAGGTGGTTGAGTCCCTGGAATTGTTTAAGAGACGGGTGGATGTTGCGTTGGGAGACTTATTAACACTCGTAGCGGTCACGCGTAGCACTTTGTGCTTTAAATTAGTCTTGTCTTCTTTCTATTCAGCTTTTTGGGAGGCGAAATCAATAAACTCCTTGATTCTGTTACGGGGTTCTGGTAGTTTGGTGCGGTTTTTTTGATTCACACGTAACGCTCTCAGCTTTGATTCGGGAGTTAACTGCCGCTCGGAGCTAAACACCAGTCTCCCCAGTTCGGGGACTGGTAAGGCCACCAGTATAATCAGCCCCGGCGTTGCCATGGCGATGAGGGCGGGGTGAGCAAAATGGCGGCC